AGGATATCAATCCCCAAAATATACTCAGGAAAAGGAGATATATATACAGTATACTCCTTTGGGGTAGATGCCCTATTCCCAAAGGGATTTGGGCTTTTTTTACTCTGATAGCCTTCCCCCTGTATCCATCTATGATAGTGGGGATTCCAGGGAACCGTTCAGGGTTACCATGAATTAATGAACATTCAGCCCCTGTGTCAAATATGGTGCTTCAAACAGCTCCTACATCCCTCTTTGGGTTCTTACTGGCCATTCTTGCCCTCATTTTGGGCAGCCCATAAGTGAAGTTAGCCATATGGTAACAGACTTGGGAGAGGCTGAAGCAATGACAGCATGGAAGGAAATAAGGTCTGCCTCTCAGAGGAAGAATTTAAAGGGCCCCAATAAAGTCACTAGGACCCATATGTGGGTTGATTTAATAGGAGCAGGAGCAGACAGGGAAATTAGATTGGAAGTCAAATAGAATCTTTTAGGAGCTGTGACAACAACTGAAACCAGAGCAGCAATTCTGGCCACTGAGGACAAAAAAAGCAGAGGCTGGAGACAAAGCCACATATCTGGCCTGTGTGTCTGCAAGACTTCCTGCCAGAGAGTGATCCAACCTCACCAAAACCAGCAGGAAGATGCTTTGGGAACACAGTTTGACTGAAGGAAGAGTTGATGTACCTGCCCTAAGGGACCAAGGGGACCTGAGGCCACATGTTGAAATATCAATCAATTGGTCCCCAGAGAATGTACAATGTGTCCTGGCTCTGCTAGACACAAGAGCTGACTGTTCACTGATATATGGCAATGCTGAGTGGTTTCCTGAGAACCCCACTGTTTTTTATGTGTACAGGTGTAAGGCTATCAGAGTGAAACAAGCCCAAATTCTCTTGGGAATAGGGCATATACCCCCAAAGGAATATACTGTGTGTATCTCTCCCATCCCTGAAATATCTTTTGGGGCTAGATATCCTTCAGGGCCTATGGTTGCAGATGAATGCAGGTGATTTCAGACTAAGGGTATGTGTGGTGAAGGCAGTTCTGAGGGGACATGCTAAGCACCCGCCCATAGCTTTGCCTGTGCTTCCACAAGTGACTAATACCAAACAATACAAATTGCCTGGAGGGCATAAAGAAATTGGAGAAATCCTCCAGGAACTGGAAAAGGTTGGTGATAGAAAGTCCACCTATAGTCCTTTCAATTCTCTAGTGTGGCCAGTAAAAAAGCTGGATGGCTCCTGGCATGTGACTGTAGATTATAGAGAATTTAATAAAGTCACACCCCCTTTGCATGCTGCTGTCCCCTCTATTGTAGACTTGATGGACATCAATTAGGAACACATCATTATATTATAGATTGTGCTATGCCTTCTTTTCCATTGACATAGAACAGGAAAGTCAAGAATAACTAGCCTTCAAGTGGGAAGGATGGCAATGGACTTTCACTATCCTTTCACAGGAGTACCTCCACAGCTCCACCATTTGTTATGGACTTGTATCCCAGATTGGAAGCATGGGAGAAACCACCAATGGTGCAACTGTACCATTATATTGATGATATGCTCATGTCTGATTTTCTTTCAGATCTGGAAAGTACAGCAACATCTATAGGAAAAGGATGGGCTGTGAATAGCACCAACACTCAGGGACATAGTTTGTCAGTCAAATTCTTAGGGGTTGTCTGGTTAGGTAAAACTGAAGTTATACCAGAAGCAGCATAGAGAAAGTCCAGGTTTTTGCTATCCCTACAACTATGGCATTGTTACAGGAGTTCTGGGGTCTTTTAGGATACTCAAGAGTGTTCATCCCACACTTGGAACAAATTCTAAAGCCCTTATACTGTTTGGTACAAAGGGGCATTAGGTGGAACTGGGATGAGACATTTACATCTGCCTTTACTACAGCAAATAAGCAGTCAAGTCCATGCAGGCCTTGAGTGTGATAGACCCATAAAAGCCCTATAAGATGGATGTTCATATAATTGAAGAGGGTTATGGCTGGGGTCTCTGGGAGTGGCTTGAATGAACTTGCCAGCCTATAGGATTCTGGTTGCAACTCTGGAAAAGAGAAAGGTATGGTACACCCTCACAGAGAAACAATTGGCTGCCATGTGCCATACCTTGCTGGCCACAGAACCCATTACCAGAATGACCCTGATAAAGGGAAAAACCACCTATTTGATTACAGTGTGGGTGAAAGACTGGACTCAAAAGTCACAGAGTGGTGTAGCACAGATGCCTACACTGGCCAAATGGGGCATATACCTATAGCAATGTAGTACCCTTTCTACTAGATCCTTGAGTGAAGAACTCAGCACTTATTGGGTCTAGTGACATATACTAGTGAAAGGCAGGAAGAATTTGCTTTAGAGCCATTAATAGCAAAGAGCCCTTATCAGGAGGGAAGAGCCCTGTACCGAAAAATGCATTGGTACACAGATGGCTCCAGTCATGGGCAGTCCCCAAAGTGGAGGGCTGTGGATTTCCATCCTAAGACTGAGACAATATGGATGGAAGATGGTGAGGGGAAGAGTATTCAATTGGAATAATTGAGGGCAGTATGGTTTGTGATTAGCCAGGAGCCCTCCACAGTTGTTGCCTCTACTGACAGCTAAGCCATCTATTGAGACTTGAGTCTGTGGCTACCAATATGGTACCACGCCAAACGGTTGGTTGGTCACTGACCCCTTTGGGGGAAAAAGTTGTGGCATGACTTATGGGCCTGTGGTCAGATTAAAACAGTTACAGTATATCATGTGACAGGTCATTTGCCACTGGCATTCCCAGGAAATGATGAAGCAGATGAATTGGCCCAGGTGCATTGGCTAGAAGGAAAGCCTGCCTGTGATGTGCCCCAATGGTTACATCATCATTTGTTGCATGCAGGGCAAAAGATAATATGGGCTATAGCCCATTGGTGGGGCCTGCCTTTGACCTTTGAAGAAGTCAGCAGAGCCCAGCAGAAGTGCATTGTATGCTGTAAAAGGGACTTATACTGAGTTGCACAGCAACATGGGACTAAGTTAAGGGGCCAATACCCCACCGTCAGGTGGCAGATAGACTATACTGGGCCTCTGCCTGTGTCAGAATGATACTAATATGCCACGACTTGTGTGGACACAGCTACTGGACTGTTGATTGCCTTTCCTGCATGTTGTGCAGACCAATGAGGCCTGGAGCATCTCTTTGCAGCCTATGGTTGACCTCAGGTAATTAAGAGTGATCAAAGGATCCACTTTACTGGACATGCACTACAAGAACAGGTGCAACAGTTAGGAGTCAGATGGAAGCTTCCTGTACTATACAACTCTCCATGGCAGGCATGAAGAGAGGTACAATGGTTTGTTGAAATTTGGCCAGAGGTCAGACACTAATAGTCTACAGAGCTGGTCAGTCTGCTTATGGGCAGTGCTATGGTATTTGAATGAGAAGCCCCAGAAGGAAGCACTCAACCACATAGACATGCTAACACATATTGCTGCCTCCCCTGTACAACTGCAAGTAGAAACTAAGGAGGAATCATTGAAGCCAAGGTTTAGCCATCAGAATATTTGGCTGCCAGCACCAAATGTACTAAACCTTGGAGACTCCACTGAGTGGACATGACCTTGGACATTTTGACATGGAGACTAATGATGGCTGGCCCTCCTGGTATCTTAGGTACAAGGCCTGGAATCTGACTTCCTGTGTATTCCTGGAGTAACCACAGAGAGACCCCCAAAGATCACAGTAGTATATCCTAAACTAAACTGCCAGAAGTGTAGGAGCATCTTATTAGGGAGTTTCATTTTGTCATTATAGCTAGTGCATGCACCTCCAGTAGCCTTATATACAGACCCCTCAGTAACTCCCACAGGAAGAGGGGTAAAGCTATAGACCTGGATGGGAGCCCCTTCCTGCTACAGTCCTATCACAAGACCAGTCTCTTGCATGCATCCTACCTAGTGGACCAGATTTGCCTATGTTGGTATCATTAAAACATGTGTCTTATCACCCTTAAGGTCTTTGTGGATTAGGCACATACCCTAGCAAAAACTGCTACTCACTGGGGCAGCATAGAGCTCCCTATCAGTACTATTACTGGCCTTCCCTAGAAAGTGTGAGTTGTGAACTCATGTGAGTAGAACTGGTTTTGAATATAGCTGGAATAATCTCCTCAGGCTCAAGGATTATTATGATTTTTGTTACCTGTATCAAAATTTTGTTGTATTATAATTTGTCATTATTATCTGTATGATTTTGTTATTATCTGTTGCTATTGTGGAATCTGGCTACAATGCTCCAGCTTCCTCTCACAGAGACCATCCCAGAGGATTGAGGGTGGTGGATTGTCAGGCAAGAATTCTGGAGGTGTAGAGTATGGGGAAAATGGATGTTCCTGTGGCCAGGATCCTCACCTGACCCTAAACTGCTTGAGGCTGTAACTGGCCCACTGCTAGGCTATTGCTTCCATACCCAGAGGCAATGAACTATTACTGACTGAGTCACTATATAAAGAGCTCTGGGTGGAGGTAGAGATGGAGGTGGATTACAGACCTGCAGACTGTTGGATGCAGATATGATTCTAGTGCTCCACCTAAAATTATGAGAATAAAACCAGTTATAAACCCTTTTTCCTCAAGAGAGTTCCATTGTCATTCATAGGTCTCACTTAATTCATAGTGAACTGGCCTGTGGATGAAGCACTCAGGCAAGATGGCCCTTTAGGGCAGGAATAGGAGACAGTCACTTTGTGATCCCAAAGCATAGGAGGTTTTACATTATCTATGAGGTAGTCATATGTTGTTATATATTTGTCAATTGCAGTGTTTTTCATTTCAGTAATTCAGAAGAATATAACACAAATCGATTTTTCTTAAATAAATAAACATTGTGGATTCTTGGCATAGACTGTAGACCACGATTTCATCTTAGGAGAAATGAGGGAGAAGGAAGAGGAGGAGGAGGACGGGGAAAGAGAACAGGAGGAGAAGGAAGAGGAGAAAGAAAATCCAGCATAAATATCACCATAAATACCTGTCACAGGTACGTCCTCATGCCATCAATTTAATGTCACTCTTGTGATATAGCAATAGCTCTTCATTGATTCTTCCCTTGTAAGTGAAAGACCTGACATTTTGAAACAGTATGGGGGTTGGTTACAGAGGAAGAGATATCTGTCTTAATTATAAAGTATCAGGACGTGTTCTGGTCCATCGATATTCTAAAATGACATACTGTTCCAGGAGGATAAACCCACAGCTGCCACAGGAAGGCTAACCTCGACCAGAGCCCACTATTCATGATTCCCACTGTCACACGCAATCCCCACACTTCCTTCATGGTGAAGCAGAAAATGGTGGGTGCAATAAGGCCTCCATGTTGGTGTCCCACCCGAACTATGAGTAGTTCAGCATAGCTATAGGTTTGAAATGTGTGTACTAGCATCTATCGAGTCTTATTAGCTGGCAGTTTGTTTTGGTTGCTGCTGAAGTTGGGGAGCAGCTTTGGAGCATTAGTTCACCTGTTCACTAGCCTGCCTGTCCCAGGTCTGCTGGAATAATGCCTAGAACTTTGCTTAAATGAATCAATGAAGAAATAATTGAGGAAGAAAGAGGGGATGAAGTAGTGAGGAAGGGAGGGAAAGAGAAGAAGAAGGAGGGAAATCATTTGATTTTCCACAATGGAATGAGCAGGGCATACTTTTTAAAGTCAGACTTCTTTCAGTGCTTATTATGCCCTACATATCTATTTTTTCCATCAAGAATATACTAGATGGATTTGTTTTACATTTGAGATTGACTATATATCTACAAGGCTTAGAAATCAAAGAAAAAAGAATAAGTATGATAGAAATTGGACTTCGCTTTAACTGTTTTTGGTCTTTATAAAATATTTATGTTTTGTATATTAACAGAGAATAAAATAGTATCAGTGGACTTGTTCGATAAATTACATAAGTTTCACCTAACACTAAATTAAACCTTAAGTTATATTTATAGAATCTTCTATAAACTAATAATACATTTATGAGTTATAAGGTTTTTCAAACTCTTTAGCATACAAATAATCAACTAAGTATATCATTAGAATGGAATTCATACTGCACCTAAAAGATTCTGATTCAACATGTCTGGAAAGAGGGCCTATGAATTTCCATTTCCAGCAGGCTCTCAGGTGATGCTGTTTCTCAGGGTCCAATGTACCACACTTTGAGGAACAATGAACTACCACATAAATGTTATCTAAACTTCAACAATGAATTTCTGATATTCATAAATTGATATATTGAATTATCTAACCACTAACAAAGGTGTGAATTTCTATCCCAATTTACCTAGGGACTTAATGAAGACTAACTCTTCCTTCTTTCTAGTTAGTAAGTTCAAAAGAAAGCATCCATTAAGAAATAAAGCCCTTAAAGACTCAAAGGAAATATATTAAATTCCAAAACATAGGCACCCAGTTTTATGCAAAATACAAAGTACTGAGCTTCTATGGTTATTTGACATTAAAAATCAGGACAATTGATTTATCATATAAAACACAGGATTACTGGGTTTCCCGAATATTTTAATATTCTTCAAACTTCAAATATTCTAAAGTCAATGGAATCAGAGTACCATTTAAAATTTGTAGGACATCTTTGACATCAATGATGACTCCAATTTTATTATGCCATTTCTTATCATTTATTAGATGAACACAGGAAAATTTTGGTAAGATGGTATCATTTTTGGCTTTGAGTTGTTCCCTGTTGGACATGTACTTGTTGAAACAGGGTGGACAGTGTCCTACAGAAACATTTTTACCCTTTCAATTTATTTCTATGTTTGGTTTACTCCAGCATACATTTCCCTTTGTCTCATTCACATCTGCCTAGACTAACACTGGCAGTAACATTTGATGGCTCCATTTGTTTCCTGGTGACTCTGCCTCACAGGAAACAGATTGTAAAGTCACCCTGTGAAGTTTGCTCTTAGTGTCTGTGGGGACAGATATGGGCATTATTTTCAGTTCCATAATATGATCTCATACTTCACATTTAGAAAAACAACTGGAGGATTTCAGTTTGTATAAATACAACGGTGCTCTAGAAGCACACATCATCGCTTAAGCTTCAGAATTTCAGCCCCTCTGACTCTTGAGTCTCATCTTGGGTAAAAGGTAATATATCGGCATACAAACTAATATGTTGTCCTAGTCTAATCTTAAGTTTGTGAAAATTAGTTGAATATATAAAATGTATATTATTTATTGATAAAGAATCAATAACTATATGTCATTATCTTGGTGCCTCTTAGTTGACTGCAATCATAGCACAAAACAAATGATATAGCAAATGGGCATGTGCTCTGTCTTCTCTGTTGGTGGGACATCCTACATGCCTTTTTACCTCCTAATATATGATGTCCACTTTGTTAATAATATTTTTTGGTCACTAATTTCAAGATGAAACAAATTTTATAAGAAAATGATTTCTTGAGTCACATAAATTGTCTTCTGGTAAATTTTGTGTACTCTTGAAGATTTGAGTAACCATTTTCAAAATTACTTAATTCCCTTCACTAATTCATCTTCTATTACCTCTTTGGTGTCTCATTCATTAAGTTGTTTTTGTGCATAATTGTGTGTAACAGACTATGCTAATAATTCATTTTCTTTGAAACATTTTCATTTCATTTGTAATTTTGATGAAAAATGGTTTTTCCTCTTTCAACTATTTCATTGGGTCCTTTGGGAAATATTTTTTCAAAGCCATTAAATTATCTATCTGTATCTATATGTATGTGGATCTATTTATCTTTGTAAAAGACCATTTTCTGTGAATTTCCCTCAGCCCTCTATTTTCAATGAAATTTCAGTTATAAGCAACCCTTTCAGTTATATCCTTTTTGTCATAATGTGACTTACCATTTGGTCTGACTTTTAAATAACAGAAAAACTCACGAGTCAGTATACAATGTTCACAGTTTGTCTCCTACCTCAGTACAAAGTATAAATGAATGAGACAACTTTAACACATAAAGAGCAAGGGAAGTATCACCATTCCCAAGTTCTGCTTCCTGTGTTAGAGACTTAATCCTTTAACAGAATAGTTTATTCTATCCCTAGATAAAAGTTATACTGTAATATTCTACCAAACTGATGCTTCAGAAAGATGAGGAAAAGAAGTCTTTACCCAATTTTTACTGTATACTTTGCAAAATCTTTATATTTAGATGATTATCATTCAGAAATAAAAAATCTGCCTGATTCTCCTCCAATAGCCACAGAATAGGCTCACTTGCATATACAGAATTATAAAAACATTAAGGAATCCAAGATTAGGTCACTTGTATTAAGATTATTTGGAAGATTAAATCATCTTTACCAATTCACTTTCTCAAAGGATCTACAAATAATTTTCCTGAAATTCCTTTTCAATTAGAATTTTCTCTACTCCCTGTCATTGATTTTCTCATACCAGGGTTACACCATATACATAATTCTCAAGCCACAAACCTGGCTCATTTTCAATAACTCGATTATAAAACCAGTGTCTACAGTTTGTCATTCTACTTTCTCAACATTTCTTTCAATTCTGCCCTCATCATTATCCTAACATTCTTTACTTATCAATGTCCCCTACTAGTCTCTCAGTTTCATGATGTCAGGAAATGTGTTTTGATGGTCTTTGTACTTCTAGTATGTTTCACAAGGTTCCGGAGCTGTGATCAGTAGCTGGTTGGTAAATGTAGGAGTGAGTGTGCTACTAATTTTTCACACATGCCTTCACAGGACACTGCCAGATATGAAGATCTTTATCTTTGCCTTCATCATGGCTCTCATGGTTATCATGGCTGTAAGTATAACAGGAAATATTGAAGAACATGTTCTCAGTAATTGCCCAAAGATTCTATTTCTTGTGGCTTATATATGCATTGACCTGAATATGGCTTTATAAATTTTAATGATTTTTAGATGGGCATTTTCCTTGAACTCACTTACATAATGTCATTAAGGTCTTAGAATGAATCTGAGTGCACACACAGACACTCAAGTCTAATTAGCTTCATGTGCTGGGCAATTTTCAGATAAGCACTGTAAAGATGTGGGGCCAAGAGGGTAATAAAAGACACTGAAATATTAAAAGCTCTACACCTACTAAATGTCAGGAACTCCCTGCTTATATGTCATTTTCTACTGTGCGTCCCAGGTAAAACTGGATTTCTCTGAAGCTCTTTCTGGCTCATTCTTCTCCCCCCTCTTTGTTTCTTCTTGTATTAAACATATGGCTCCTTTTACTTTGGCATTGTTTGTGGCTAGATACTGGGAAATAGTTAAATAAAAATAATCATCAACTACAACAAGTTCTAGTGGGAGTTTTAAAAACAAATTGGTTATAGCATTACAGTTTATCACATCAGCACAATAAATATTTGAAACTATGTAGCCTTAAACTATTTAAAATATATCAAAATGAAATCATTTCTGTTCAGTACATTCAAAGGCTAGCTTTTCATTTCACCTTCTACCATGATAGATTTTCTCCCCTTACACACAAAAAAGAAATTTGGACCAGTGCAAACTGATAGTTCAATGTAGCAATTTAGTTTGAGCAGTACTCTACCTTTTAGTCATTTTAAAGGTGTTATTAAACAAATAACACTTGTTTAGTGTATCAGTTACCTAAGATTTTGCCTCCATTTAGTTTAGACATAATTGTGAATTCTAAGTGCACTTTTAAATTCAACCTGGACTTACAAAATTAAGATGCTCATCATTCTCTTCTTTTCTTTTTTTTCAAGAGTGCTGATGCATTTGACGGGGTAAGGCACTTTCATTCATTTGAAAACTTGACAATTAAACATGAATTATAATGTTAATCCATAATCCATTCCTTATTTGAATAGATTCATCTTTGTTAATAGAGTATGACTGTGTAAGCATTCTCATGATGAGAATTAGTGGAAATGTATTTTCTTTGAATATTTATTCTAAAAGAAAAATCTATTCTTATCTCTGAGGCATCTCTGTGATGAATGGCTAAAGCAAAAGGTTTGGAAAAACAATCATGGAGAGAACATATGAAATCCTACAAACTTCTATATCCTAATTTTAAATGGAATTATTATGATGT